TGAGATCAGCCTTCTGGAGCTGAACCTGTCCCCTCAGCACCTACTCCTCAGTGCCGGCTCCCCCAGGCCAGGCCTCAGAGGCGTCATTCTGCTCTCCTTGAATACCCACAGCCATGGAGAGCTCACTACTGTGCAGTCTAGTCTCAGACGGCCTAAGACAGGCTTGAGGTGCCAGAGCCAGCTCTGCTCAGCACTGCCTGGGGACCCTGCACAAGCTCCCAGATCCATCTGAGTGAAAAACAGGGGGAAGCCACACTCAGTACTCTAGGGCCATCCACAGGTGAAACCAGCAACGCCCGTGAGCTCAGGTTCAGGAGCGGCAGCCGGTGCTTTGTAGGTGACAACAAAATGTTCCTCATCATGCCTTCCTGCATCCTAAGGCCACCTGTGTGAAACACTTGCTGGCCAGCTCTACCACTGCCCCCCTGGACAATCATTCATGGGACATCTTTCCCTCTGGAGCCTTGTTCTCCCCATCTGCAAGGCAGGGTAACTCTAACCATGTCCTGTACAAAGACATGCTCTCTGTTAGCACAATGGCCCTCCATGTGGGGCGGCTGTGTCCACATGAGGTCACCAGAGGGATCCTGACTGTGGCTGGAGAGGTGGCTCTGGGGTTACCAGCATACAGTGCTCTTTCAGGGGACTGGAGTTGGATTCCCGGCAGCCATGTCAGGCAATCACAACTGACTGTAACTCCAGTTCCAGGGCCTCTGACCTTCCGGCCTTTTTACACATAATTCATACACGAGTACACTCACACGTAATTAAAAATAAAACACAGCTTAAAAAGAAGAAGGATCCTAACACAGAAGGACTGGTGTCCAGATGGAAAGGGGGTGGGCGGAGCCCAGTGGCTGAGCATTTGCAAGGTGGTCCCAGCTGTAGTCTCCTAGCATCAAGAGAACAGACCAGACCAGAAAAAAGGAAAGGGAGGAGAGAAAAAGGGAGGAGAGATGAGGAGGGGAAGGCAGTGAGGAGGAGGGGAAGGAAGGGGAAGGAGAGGAGGTAAAGGGAGAAGAAAGGCTGTTTAAAGAAAAGTATTGGGGGATGAATCTAGGTGCGTGAAATACACCATAGAGTCACGGAATGAGCTGGACACACAGAATGGGAGAAGGAACAAAAGAACCAGACAGCTATGAAGATAGATGGCTCAGGTGACCCAGCTTCTCACGATGCCTCTGTTGCCGTTTCCCCAAAATTCTGCGTCCAGAACATCTTCAAAGCTGCCAGCTGAGAAGGTCCAGCCTCACAGACGACTCTATCCAGACAAGCCCTGCACTTTGCCACCACACAGAGACTGGACAGCAAATGACACAGCTAGTTTTCCCAGGACTTGACCATTATCTCAACTTTCTCAGGGTCCCCTACAGATGCTGTCACCCCCAGACAACAGGAAGTAATTTTAAGAATATGATGCCCACATTCCCAAGAGGTGGGGTAGGTGGTTTTTGATTGTTCTGTAGGTTATGGATGTTTGCCATTGTCTAGGAGGGCTGGTTATGAGTTGTTTCTGGTCATGGCAGGGGAGGAAACTAAACAGGGAAGGTTGGGTTCAAGGATC